ACAGCACAGTAGAGGCATCTTTTCCTAAGCTATGCATTTCCTTAGGGTTATATGTCTTCATCACTTTCTTAATTCAGTATTTTTTACGACAACCCTCAATGACTCTTTTTGAAAATTTGAAAATACTATTTCTGAGTATCATTCTGAAGTTCACCACGAAGCTTGAAGAAGTAGTGATCAGAAATCCTGATGAGTTACATTTATTGAAGACGTAACTTTTGGGGAAGTGCTAACATTAATCACTCAAGTACATAACCAGCAAAGATGGGGGATGACCAGGCTGCGGCAAAGAGGAATGAGTGGCAGGGATTATAGTAATGGCAATGGGAAACTATACAGAGTGTCACAGAATGCCAGTGGGTCAGACAGAACTGTGGAGAATGTTAGATAAATTGCAATGGAAAGCAAAGTACTTGATAACGTCTTAGAAAGCAAAGGATATATCTTGTCCACCTACACACCAGAAAGTGCCCATTATGAGTATTCAAAAAGTCTGTCCATAACAAAGTATTTTATTTCTGCTTACAGGGAAAATCAGTGTTGGGCACTATTGAAAGCTGTGCTGATAGGTCATGGTGCTTCAGAAGTGCTGCCTGACCTGCTGTGCTATAAAAGGGTCAGTCTAGAGCTGGGGTCTTGTCTGTCTGGTTGTTCTTAGAGCTGGAAGTATACATGGTCAGTAAATGGCTCACAGTTTATTCATGAGTAAACCTTCTCTAAGACCAATAGTTTTCTTAGCACGTTTCAGTGTCCCTGTTACAGACCCAGGTTCACTTAGAGCAAAAGTACAGGACCATCCGCATCTCAAGGGTAACATCGGTACTTGAAATTAACAGGTATTTTTCACAAGCATGAAAAAATTGCAAGATTTTCAGTTATCAAAAGGAAATTTTGCTAAAGAATAAATGTACTATGTTTGGAATTTTTGATAAAATTTGATACACAAAGGCTGCTATTAGGCCTCAGATGACCAGCTAGTTTCAAATTCCCAGTCTGAATTTTTTGGCTTAACTTTTTTTTCTGTTCTTTTATCACAAAAATGTACCTTCTGTTTTCATAGATAAGTTTATGGTGTCTAGTGCCATAAAATGATTTAATACTTTGGTTCTTTTGAAAATTAGGCTGG